CAAAATTTAAGAGATATTTGCTTTCCGGAAAAATAATTAACGACGATGTTACATCAATATTTTTCATCGCTATTTGATAATTAAAATATTTAAAAAAAAATTATTCTATTATATTTCAATTTTCGAAACCCTCGAAGAATGTTGGACTAGAGATGAAATTTTAAGACTGATTAAACGCATTCGAATGCCGCGAAAGCAATTTCAAACGAATCACCCGATATATCGTCGTTTCGTCCTCTCGAGATTTCCTCTTATCCGAAACCTACAGCCACCACGAACTACCGAATCGAATTTAATTACCGATGTGCAGATATTTACTTCGTAAACTACCTAGGAACGGGAGAACCAAATGGAAGGACGAGCGCGGCGAGCTCGTTAAAAATTTAATTTTATACGACGACAGCCGTCTCTCCCAGCTTCTCTGAGCTTGCAGCTGTCTGTCACAAAGGTCATCCAAGATGGCGTCTGACAACACGACTATCCGCGAGATCCACTTTCTAATTAAATCTTTTTAATAATTTCACAGTCTATTTCGATGTTACATTTATCATTGAGTGCAGTCTTGTATATTACTCACATGTTACACAAGCATACATTTGTAAAATTGTTATATTTTAAGTTACTTGTTATATTTTAGTTATTTGTTATATTTCAAGTACTTTGTTTCTACATATATTTAATGTAAGTTTTTAATTTATAGTACTGGATTATATATAAACTATAATATAATTGAGAAAAATGAATAAAATAGTGAATAAAAAAATTAAAAAATAGAAGATAAAAACTGTTTCTTTGTCGCTTTAACTCGTCACGTTATTTTCAAAACCATCCGCAGATTAACTTTATATTAAACTTCTAATAACGCGTGAAATTTGTCAAACATATCGATTCGCTCAATAAGTGAGAGATTACGGATAAAGAACTCTCTTTATCGATTTAATTACTTCATAAAGCGACATTGCTTGCCTCGACGAAATCCATATCACAGATAATAGCGGCCAAGCTACTTCCCGAGGTTCGACCAAAACAAGTTTGCGGACGGATATGCGCTTATAGCGGACCGCAAGGGGTTAAAGCGATTTCCGTTAGTCATAGAAACGCTCGACTCGGGCAAACCATCCGCACAGTTTCAAGCACTCGCGAATCGTCGAAAGAGAGAGAGCCGGAGAAAGACAGAGGGAGAGAGATTCGGTCGCCTTTTAAAAGTTTCATCCATTGCCAGGACCGCGATTCTCTTACACCGGTATTTTTCAATAACTTTATAATGCCCTGCAGCGGCAGGATCGCTGCGATGAATATAATTGTGCTGAAGTTTGGACAGTTCGCAGTTATTTCTCGCGATGTCGAGAAACGAGTCTTGCATATAAAAAAATACACGGCCAATTTTTACACGAGCATAGTTCGTACATCAAAAATTTAACAAACTCAAACACACAAGTTTCATCTTAATCATTCTTACATTAAAAATTTAACGAGTTAAAGCGCGAGTTTTATCTTCTAATTATTTAATCTGAAGAAAAAACTAAGGAAAAATATGAAGGTATTGAAGGAAGAGGATTGAAAAATAAATACGTGTATACTGAATAAAAAGAGATTATTCAAAATACGAGAATTAATAATGTCAATCAATCAGAAACCGAGATGATAATAATCGCATCGAATGACGAAGCGAATGAATTTCATCTTTGCAAACGTTATGACTCGCGGTTTACAAAGCCGTTAATTTGAATCCTCCCTTTTTATTTCCGCTGTAATAAATATCTATAAGCAATTTGCCGTTTCGCACCTAATGAGGGTTCGAGGCAACGGATTGTTGGCATCGTGGCGCGCTCCTACATTTTTCAAGTATCGCGATTATATTTGCATTTAAGGCGCTTCAATTAGTGAGGAGACAGTTTCGCGTAATGACGAAAAAGAAAGTCGTCGTTCTTTCTCGGCGGCTTTCCGGAGTTTCCTTTAAGCTGCGCAATCGCAATTATCGCGGTTGTACCCGAACGCGGCAATCGTCGATGAGCCCCGTACTTTCCCCTTCTTCCTTTCATACCTTTACGCTTGTTAAATCCGACTAAACGTAAGGAAATAAGTGAAGTACCATCGCCACGCGGACTAAACGTAATTAAGCAGTTTCGCGATGATTGCGGAGAGTTTCTTCAAACGTCATTCTGTGATCCTTAATTACTCGCGACACTAAGTTTTTTACCTTTGATTAACGCGTAAACAGGACCTTTCGCAAGATATAAAGCTGAAATATTTCCTAGATGGCCGCGATAGTGAGTTGATAAACTTGCATAAATTTTTTCTTTAATCATCTTAATCTTAATACAATTTTCTTAATTATCATAATATAAAAAATATATACGTATGTGTAAAAGATATATTTATTACCAATAACGTGAATAATTTCTAATGATATAATCTTTGACAAATTTTGATTCATTTTTTTTTTAATATTAATTATTTATTATTTTTTAAATTTATTTAAAAAAATTGATTCACAAAGAAATCGTTAATTAATCTTGTTAAAAAAGACTTATTTTTACGCTTGTCTATATAATGCTATATATTATATAGAGCAAAGAAAGAAAGAGAAAAAGAGAGAGAGAAAGAGAGAGAGAACGAAAAAAGCAATTATTAATAATTCCGTGTTGTTTTTTGAGCTAATGAGTTTCAAGTCCGTGCTAATCAGGCTATTGTCGAAAAGCTTAAAATCAAGTATTGCATCTCGTAAAGCTTGCCGGACGAGCACGATTATGAAGTATCTCGAACTCCCCCGCGAATCAACAAAGTTAGTCATTAAAAGCGACCTATAGCCTAGCCTTCGTAAATGAGTATCTCCCGCGCACGTGTGTCTACGTATCTCAAATCGATTTCCATCGAGTTATCGAGTCTATACATATCCTCCCAAGTCGAATTCGATTCTTCGGATTTTTGACTGTATAACTCCACTGCACGAGAATGTAGCCGTAAGGCAAACCCGTATTTACGTCCTTCCTACCATTTTCCTCACACTCGAACAGCAATGTAAGTTTACATTTGTCCAGATGCACGTAACATATTGCAATCGTGTCAATATACATTCCTAACCAGAATGCGCGCCCATACATCATTCGGTTTGATATACAAATAAATCTCGGCGAGTCTCTGAATTCGCAAATCTTTAAAACTTTGACTCGTTCCATTTAAAAATTTGTCAAATCCTGCACTTGCTAATTTTAACAATAGTATAACAATAGTAATTTAATTAAATTAATTTTATAACAATAAAAGTTATAAAATTAATTAAATTAAATTACTATTGTTATACTATTGTTAAAATTAGCAAGTGCAGGATTTGACAAATTTTTATATGTTAATTTTATAACAATAGTAATAATAACAAAACTTGTAATTTTAACAATATCTCATTTTTCAATCCATGAGCATTGTATCCCTGTTGAATTACAACATTTCTAAAGCTACGTTTTATATTGTACTTTTGGTACATATGATTGCAACATTCTAAGAACACGATATATTGTGGTATATTTCGGAGGTAATTTGAAAAGCCATTTTTTTGAGTCTTCTTGCATCGAGCTATCGATATATCGGACGCCGTGAAGGCCATTGGGAAAAATCCTGCGTGACTAGGCGAGAGGATTTAACGACCCTCGTTTATATCGCAGCGGCCCGTAAACACGAGGGCGGGCTGCAATCCAATTTTTTTTTGCTTTCCCCTGTTTCGCGCTACGACCTTCGTAATACGAGGCGCCATTTCTTTCGTCTCGCCCCTTACCACATCGTACCTCTCTCAGCGGAGGCAATTACGTATGCAAAGAGGCCAAAAAGTAACGACCGGTTAGACTTATCTGCGAGATCCGTCGATCGAAGCAGCATCAAATCGCCCTTTGAGCTTATTATTTTTGCTTTACGAAACCGATACAGATTAGAAAACCGAGATTGCGAAAAATCGACCGCAAATCATGAGCAATTTTTGATGATACTAAAAGTGAATATTAAAAATGTACCTTTTTGTGCAGGTTATACAATGTGCAATTATATTTTATGACCCGATTTAATGATTAAAAATTTGTAAATATTAAAATTCCTGATAAAGATTTAGGTACACAACTTTTAAACATGGCGAGTAAAATGCATCATGTATTTAAAAAATCATATCATTAGTTTTGAAGATGATAGAAAATCTTTTAGATCGAGCGTGATTATTTTTTTCATTATCTTTTTTTATATTACGTATTTGCAATAAACGATATCTTACGCAATTTTAGGAGAAGGACGCACGGTAGAACACTGTATCAATTTCATTTTACCGCGAGCGTAAAGTGAGAGCTTTGTTACTCTCCATTTAAAGGTGTTTTATGCGCGTGGCTTAAAACTAGCCGTAAAGCGCTCGTAAACTCTCCTTTTCGTGATAAGAAACGATAAGATACGACGATCCAGTCGTCTCTAAGAGATGGTTGTTCCCGATTAACCGCGCGGACAATCAAAAAATAATAACGCCCCTGTAGTTGTAGGATCGAAATTACCTCGAAGCGTACGTGCTCATCAACTTGTTCCTCTCTCTCTGTTCCTACTCTCTCTTTTTCCTGTCGAGGGATTCATAAAATTCTTACGACGATATTCGCGAGATTCATATAGATGAATTATTAATAATCGCCGTTTTTATGAAGAGATTCGCGCTACGACAAATCACCGACTGGTTATAAATTACCTTATGAGGTAACGCACACACACATACATACACATAATTATGCGCAAACGCGTGTCAGTTGTTGCCTCTGTGAGAATAATGCAAAATATCTGCAAAATTATAAACAATCCCGCAACTCGACGATCGTTTCATAAGTCTACAAAGCGTATTAAATGATGGTCGAGAAAATATCAACAAAACAATCGTTGAATAATATATCACTCGCTTTATATTTTGTCTTATTTTTATTCGCATTTTATTACAAGTCTTGCAAATTTCTGAAAAACATGATAGAAAATAATTTAACACTCACCGGTACGATGCACAACAGCGGAAATGTAGTACACACAACGTTGATCTGTGAAATACAAAAGAAATACATTCAAGTTTCACATATAAAATAGTACCCAAAATAATTTATATTTCTAAAAGTAATTTTTACGTTAATTAATTTTAAAATTAATTTTCTTCAGTTGATAATTTATAATTTGTTTTTTAAAAATATTTAATAAAAACATATAATGATATAATTAAAAATATAAAAACAATTCTTTATTGTAAAAATCTAATTATAAAAAATCTAATTATAAATTTTAAACATCTAAATATTTTATCTAAACATCTAAAATATTTTATACGTGTATTATATGATATAAAATGATATGTTATAAAGTCAATCATTTTATCATAAACGAGCGATTAATTTCACACTGATAACAAATAAATTAAAAATAAATTAAATAAATTATAAATTACCTACCTCACGATTCCTCCACTGTCGCCCGATGCCCCCCCAGGCTTGCTCCTCTTCTCTTTGTTCAATCTTTTTGCTGCTTCTTCATTCGGCACTTTACACAACATTCACTCGCGTGAACACGATTAATTACGATCGCGCACGCATTAATCGGAAGATTATTAGAATACAACAATCGAGCAAATACATTTTGTACCGCCGATGTATGATCATACATGACACGCGCTTTATTATATTAGTGATGGATAAACAATGGGAAAATTACGGTCGAATGAAATCACAATTTCCTTGAAAATCACGCAGCAAAATTCACATGACATTCACTGCGGCAGTGTGACTTTTATGGCTAACAAATGGTACACACGTGTATTGTAGGTAATTTTATTACGCCACATTAGAGAGAACATAAGTAGATAAATGTACAAAATTTAAATTTAAAAATTAAAATATCTCCAAGAAATACAAGATTCAAAAATATGTATATTTCGTCACTTTGTCGATTCCTCGCGCGTGAATTTTTTGATTGAATAAATCATATAAAATATATCATTTTAAAAAACCAACATTAAAATTTTGTTATGCAATTAATAAATTATCGACTGACATATTAAAATACGATTATATTTATTAAGTAAACGCGTACGACTATTTATTCTATGATACCGTGATTCAGAGTCGACTATTCATGATACGTTTCGTTAATCACCAAAAAATTCGAAAATATCATCGACAATCTGACTTTGATATCGCGCATGATCTACTATTCGAATTAATGGCTGGTCAAAAGATACGTGCCGTTCGAAAATACATAATTCGAAATTCAATATTGCATACGCGATATATTTCGAAAACATAAATCCCACGAAAAAAAATGAATTATTAATAAACGGTCGATATATCGCTTATCATTGTGAATTAATTTGCCCCGATTTGTATATTATTCCAAATTTTTGATATGAAAATAATAGGTTAATTATATTCAAAAGTAAGCAAAAAATATTCAAATTGAAACACAATGCAAAATATATTTGGAGCGTATTTAAAAAAGTCATTATATCGCCCGTGAAACATTTTATAGTTATTAACAATTTAATTTGTTTTATCATCCCTAGAACAATTGATAATTTCCGTTTCATGTAACTTCAATTGTTCTCTCGAAAGAATATATCACGCGTAATATTGCTTCGATAAATAATCAAAGTTACACTGCTCATATAAATCATGTGAATCGCGCTAAGAATCAAGAATTGTAATAATTTCGCGTTCGATGTCTCCCAGTACTTTTCGCGACCGCGTCTCGAGAGATACTACGATGATACGACACATTATCCTTCCCGTTTTCCTTCTCCTCGTCTCGCGAATAACAACAAAGTCACGAGAGTGTCAACACTAGCGCCCTATGTATACATCGTAAGAAACGAGCGCTGAATTTTATATGATTATTATTATTTCGTTGCCGCTACGAAATATTTTACGCGTTACGAAATAAATTAATACAAAATATACTGCTTCTTGAATTTCAAATTAATTATTAATTAACAAACGATTTACATATTACGGCTTTTTTGTGAATCATTGGATCTCACTTGTCTATTCGAGAAATAATATGACGATACATGTAATATAATCGTATATTATAATCATATAATATGTAGTCGTTAATCATACTAATCGATACTCAATAATTGTAATATATACTCAATAATTGCAATAATCTCGCGTTTGACGTCTCCCAGTACTTCTCGCGATTGCATCTCGAAAGGTAATCGATAATGATGTATCGTAATTTCCCTCTCTTTCTTCTTGTCACACGAATTATTACGAATTTTTATGAATGCCTACAAGACTTAATACGAACATATCAACAATAGCGCGCTATGTATGTATATACGCCACGCTATGTATGTATACACGCCAAAAAATGAACACGTAATGTTTTATTATAGTAAAGTCTCTTCTGTAACCTTGTGATACTATGTATCCAATAATCTTATTATTCTCGCTTCGACATTCGAGCGAACAAGTAGTGGGTATAAACTCGTGCTCGTTATCCTTGGAGAATTAGTTTAGAGTCATAGTTTTCCACGATTATTTGGTGAATTATTTCACAAATTGATGATTAAACATGTCGAAGCTATTTATCAAAAATATATTTTGTTTTATATTTCGATTTATTTTTTTAATACGGGCAATAAAAAGACGAAGCGTTGGGAAATGATAATTACAAATTATGGTTTTGTGTCTTAATATTTAAAACGATAATTATATCTCTCTGATGCTTTGTTAGATTTGAAATATTCACGTTATATTTCACGTTTTGAATTTTTCGCCGATTTAAGCATTATTCGCCCGCAATATTATTGGGAGTAACATGTAATTGCCGAATCGAATAATTCAAGTAAAGGAAAGTCGATGATATATCGAGCGATAATTAATAATTTATATGGGGAGATTTATTATGTATCTCGCGTTCAATATCGTGAATTTCGATTGTGTATTCCGGGACGCTACATTGTCTCTCAACTACCATTAACTCGCATAATCACGCGATATCAAAGTGAAGTCGCCAATGTCATTTTCGGTCATTAACAAAACGTTTGCGTTATAGGGCGGATCGAGCGGCATCATGATGTGCTCGATTGTAATAAATACATCGTCATTAATCCTGTATTTTAATATTTATCAATCGAGCATCATATAAATTTGGCGTTTGTACAATACATTATAGTAATTGATCAAAGGACGTAGAGCAAAGCATTTCGCGAGATTTATTCAAAATTGATCGCGCAAACTTATCTTCAAATATTCCACAATTTTCGAATATTTATGTAAACTCAAAATTTATAATATTCAAAAATAATTGTTGTAAAACGAAAATGTATATTATCTGTTAACAATTAATTGATAGATGTAATGTTGTCGCAGCGAGTGACGCGTGATCGAGATTTTCGAGCGCCGTAATTTTCGCGTTGTTCTCTCATCAATGAAATAAAGTGCGTGTCGTGCGTAATTATACATCGGAAGTGCCATACAAAGTGTCGTGCGATTGTCGTATTCCACCAATTAATGCGCATGTAATCGTGATTAACCGCGCTTTCACAAGTGTCGTGTAAAAATGTCATAAAGGAGCAACAAAGGAGAGATGAAAAGGAGCATTGGACGACAGCAGAGTAATTAAGGTGAGTAATTTATAACTCATTTAATGTATATTTTTTATTTGTTACTTTTTAAATTAAATCTGCTCACGATTTGTCTCTCCGCGATAGTAATCGATTTTACATTATTGCATAATATAGCTTATACGAAAAATATTCTTTCATATATTTTCTAATTTATATCCGCTTTCTTTAAAGTCTGTCCCCTTTAAAAGTATCTTTTCAATTATCTTAATTTGTTATTAAATTTTCTTGCTCGCATCGCAAAAAGGGGAGATAGAACTTGGATTAAAGATAGCGCTCAAGATGGAAGTATAGTCTGTCAGGAAATCGAACATTGGTTATTTTCGTGAGTTCAAACGCTCAAGTTTTTCCAATTAATCTCAGTCCAGTCCGGAGGAAAGCGTTCGTGTTTTATTAACGACAAATAAACCGACGTTTTGACCCAAGAGTCTCTGATCGCAGCTCGAAATAATTGAAATTTAAGACGCGAAACGAGCGTACGGGCGGTGACTCTTCCTCGTCGTTGCCTCGACTCGATTCGATCCAATTAAGCGCGGCCCCGAGGGTCCCACGTAGTGCTGTCGGGAACTTCGATTCTCTTTTCGTCCTGTACTCTCTTTCCATCTCCCCTTTCTTTCCTCCTTCAGTCACTCTTGTCTTCCTGGAGACCTTTACTGTGTTAAGGAGGCGACATTCGAGTACGAGCAAAAACCGGTCGAGACGAAACACGCTCCCATCTCTCCTGTGCGCGCGATACTCGTTACCTTAATTACATTTGAAACGTAAACCGCGTAATCAAAGGGGATGGCTTCACCTGCTCGCGAAAGAGTACATTTTTCGATGTACAAAACCAAGTTTCGAAGCAGCGTCTAATAAATTCGATCATACATCTCGTACCTTAGTAATAACGACATTATAATATTTCTTTTCATCAAGGAGACTTCATTACGCGCTTAATAAAAAGTGTTTCTCATCGATCATGTTTATTATAACGAGTTTTATCAATATAATTTTCATAATTTTTAGGGCGCGATTAAATAATACATCTAATTTTATTTTATTTTTTTTATTTCTGTTTCTTTTTGATAAAAGTAAATCATAAATATTTGTCGAAACAATACATTTGTCTTGTCTGACACTTGCTCGTAAAAAAATGACACGATTAATCGAGAATTACACGATTAATCATCGTATTGTTAAGGGTCTCAGCTCATTGCTCATATGCTCAGTTTATACGAGCAATAAAGATAAGTCACCATCAATGTTTCCAAGATTCTCTTCCGCCTTATTCTTGTTTCAATCTTGAGGTCGACATTTAGTCTTCGAACGAACAAACGGGCAAACGCGAACTACAAGTAACGTCACCTCCATTAATCTTCCTCCCGCTTGGATTAGATTTAACCTAAGGGATTCTCACGATCTTGTCTCGACCGAAATTACGATCGC